AGTTTTAAAAATCCACAAGTATAGCTCTGGCTGGTGTAATTCAGTTGGTTGGAGCAGAGTCCTGTACACCAAAAGATGGCAGGTTCAATTTTCGGTCAGGGCACATACCCAGGTTGCAGGTTCGATCCCTAGTCAGGGCACATGCAGGAGGCAACTGATTGATGTTTCTCTCTCTTTCTCTCTTCCTCTCTCTAAATCAGTAAAGAAACATATCCACTGGTAAGGATTAAAAAAGAAAAAACAAATCTACGGGTATAAACAATGTTATATTTTAACATCATTAATAGGTTATTTGCTTTCTTAGGTCTTTCTGGGACTGAAGAGTCCAAATCAACTACTATATTATTTTTTCTTCTCTATATAATTATGTCGGACTCATTTGAAACATTTTAATTTTGGGTGGAGTTGTTGTATCATTTCTATTTGTTATTTTCACCTATAACCTTATCTCTGTTTCCTAGAAGACTATCACTTTTCTATTTTCTTACGTTCTTTCTTGATATTGATTGGTGGTTGATTCATTCTCGATTGCACCATTTTTGTTAGAAGTGAAGGAAGTGAATTTTTTTCTCTTTGTCTCTTTAGAAATAAATAGGTCATAGTTGCTTCTCCAGGAGATTCTGTCAAGGCAGAAGTGTAGAAAGAAGGATGGTGTGTCCTCTGCTTGCATTTTGGGTTTAGACTAAGGTCACCTGGCTGACAGCCCTGGTCTCCTAGGAAAGCTTTTCCTCTCCCAGTACTTCAAAGGCCAGAGAAATAGGTTTCAATTAATGTTTAGTTTGTTGTTCCTTTTGAAGTACTTCTTATGTTGATTTTATAGTGGAAGGTTACTGATCGAGGTCGAATAGTCTGTGATGTCTTTGCAGGAAATACCAGAAATAATCCAAATGCTGGATTATTATAATCCTATGTTTTTATTATTAACAGAAAGTTGTACTGATTTGGGACATGTGTAGCTAGTCTCAAATATCACCTGTGGCTTAATCAACATGTGCTCTAAGTTCTACATAATGAGTTTGGTGATTGTTTTAAGATAAACCAAATTTTAAGTATGACAGACCATTCCTCCCTCTTTCTTGCCTGCTCTCTTTTCTTTATTTCTTTCTAACTGAAAATTGTTAAATGTGAAAACATTAACTAAGATTACCCATCATTCTCCCTTTACAAAATAGCTGTTTTTACTTTTCATGTATAATTTTCTGTCTTGGTCCATAATATGGATCTTTCATGTTATTAAAATAATATTTTATATGCTTAAAATTATAGAGAAAAGGTGTAAATTTTGACATAAGAAAATAAGTACTAGCGCTAATGAAAAATACACTGTGGGAAAAGGACAGGATGGATACTGGAACTTGAGCCGTAGTAAGTCCAGCTGGGTTGTCTAACTTCAAAAATAAGGTTGTTCAAATTATTCAGAAGTGGGGTGTTCTGAGATATCTAAAATTTACCCCATTGTTTGCCCTTATGGTTTTAAATTTTATTGGATAGAATGGTTAAAAAATATTGAGTATGCTTTTACCTTGTTTGTGGTACAGTAAAAAGAGTGAGATGTAGATGGAGATCATGCTTGAGTTTTTTGGGGTTTTTTTTCATCCTTTACTAATCATGTGATCAGGAAAACAGTCTTCACTTTTCTGAGCTTCAATAGGGATTAAAATTGTTAAATTACTGAATCATTTAAGGATTAGATTTAAAATGCCGATGTGGGACACACCAGGCTAAAGTTTGTGATTACATAGAAACGTGAATAACCAACATGTTCAAGTAATTTGTCTTTTCTTTTTGACTCTGGTTATTATTAGTGTGATGAAGTCCTTTTGCATAAATTTTGGTGGTTTGATACACTGGATAGGTTGTGTATGAACTCCAGGCCCTTAGGAGGAAACTAGGCCTGTCGAATGCTTGCAGAGGAGTGCTAAGGTGTTTAGTTTCTATATGAGTGTCCTTTTGCTGGGCCATAACCTAGCCAGTTAGCAGCCTGTTGACATCTTTAAGCAGGTTATAAACATTCCTCTGTCTATGCCAGAATTACCTCTACATCATAACATTAACTTGTTTCTGATTGTAGAAATAATAGGTGGAAAATAAGAAAGCATAAAGAAGAAAATGTATAAAATAATACTTGGAAAATAAGAAAACATAAAGAAGAAAATGTATAAAACAGCATACTATTTCTGTCTAATAGAAATGACCACTTATATTTATTGTATTGCCTTCTCACCTTTTTTTCTCATTATATAACTATTTTGCTTACTATGACCAATGAGTATTTTCCCATGTCCATCTTTATGTACTACCTTTCTTATTCAAGTTTTATAATATATATAATTAAGAAGAATAAAACTACTTCTTGCAGAAAAATTAAAATACTCTTAAGTATTAAAATACTTTTCAAGCTAAAGAATTAGTGCGCATAAGAAATGGGCATTGGCAGACCCAGTTCCTTGTGGTCCACGTGGAGAGGAGGATGCCGTGTGCAGAGCCTTCAGATCAGTGTGGGACAGTGGGCAGGACACAGGCTTTGGACTGGGGCTGAGTGGAGGGAATCCTGGTTCCATCCCCTACTAATTGTGTGATGCTGGACCATCACTATCCTCTTTGACCTCTGGTTTCCTCATCTCGAAAGTGGGATTAATAATGCCTGCCATTCAGGGTTACTGCAGGATTAGACACAGTGGCTCTAAATAAAGTGCCTGGCCCACTGCCTGAACATGTTAGGCAGAAGGCCGACAATAGTTAGAAGAAACCTAAGACGTAAGACATAAAATCAAAGCATACATTATGGAGAACATGTTACAGGCGTAATAAATTCCCTCTGTTCTAAAAATATTTATTTATCTAGTTCACTATTTCCCTTTTCTCTTATAAATATATCGCTGCCCCCAACAAGGAGTAGAAAATGATGAGACGATGAGACTGCCTTGAAGCTGCTCTCTCCGGTGGCAGGATCCTTGACTGTGAGCTGCAGCCAGAACCGTGCAGCTGCAGTGTTCACTTCATCTCCGACACCCTTACTGAAGGGGCCGTGTGGCAGGGCTAGGTTAGGTTTTAAGGATTTGCAGAGGAGTTCCCAAGGGACATTCATGGTCCAGGGCAGTGTCAAGTGACCTTGGCTGCAAGAGATCCCATTCAGTAAAAGCAAAATGTTTTCACGGTACTTAAAAAAAAAAAAATCAGAATGAAAATAGCTTTAATGAGCCCTATTGTGGGTGCTGGGGTAGAGAGTATGAATTCTGAAAAATTAAATTGCTTATTGAACATACAAGTATAAGTGAAAAATTGGTATTTCTTTTAGCCAGTAACAGGTTAAATCCTGGGTGTGTCCAAAAAAACAAAAAAACATCACCGATGTGATTTCTATTTCCACATTAGACTGCCAAGTTAGCGGAATCCACAGGTTACGGTTGCTCATATCTGATCTCAGAGGAGTCAAAGATGTAGATAAAGCCCAAGTCGGAATACAAGTAGGGTGGTGGTAAGTGGTATAATAGATACAAGTACGCTATTTAGCAAGTAGTTAATTCTTATAAGGAAATAAGAGGATGTCTCCAAGGAAATGAGAGTTAAGTGAGTCTTGCAGGATGAACAGAAGTTCACCAGGGAGGCTAACATCATTCCAGGCCCAGAAAACTGCAGGCCAGAGAATGGACAGTAACTGGCTTGCAGAGGGTATGGGGGTGCTAAGAGAATGGGGGCATAGGAGGGTGCTGGAGCCGCTGCACTAGTAGCACATTTGACTTTTACCAAAGTGGCAAGATTTTTATTTCCATTCCAGAGAAATGTCAAGAATGTCATATAATTAGTAAAAGCAGAAAGAATTACAGAGCCAGTCAGTATAAAATGATTTTTAAAACCCTGAAAAGACACACAAAAATGTATGCTTGCTGAAACAGACCATTTTTGGGGAAAGTGGACAGTGTCCCCTTCCAGTCCAACTAGATAGGAGGCAAATGCTTCAGAGAAGAGTTAACTCTGCAGCCACATCAGAAATGTATCGGCATCATCAGTAACCTGATGGGCGCAGCTAAAAGATCTGCTGACTCGTCATATCAATCCATTATGCTCTCAGTCACTGCTGCTCCCTGAACTTTCAGAATTCACCACTGACTTAGTTAAAAGTCACTTTTAAGAGAGAAGTTTATAGAAAGGCAAATACACACACACACACTTTAAAAATCAGGACACTGGTAGGAGACACTTTGGTAGGGGCACAGGCAGGAAATACTCAAGTACTGTAAATAGAAGAATTAACAGCATAAGAGTCATGCTATTACTACTTTTCTCATAGTGATTTCCTGATTTTTCTTTTCTGTTTAAGCACCAGATGGGAAGTCAGGAAGCCAGGATCAGATCCGGCTATATCATTTCCTAAACATCTACCTCATCTCAGACAGTTCCCTTTACTTTCTAACCCTCAGTTTCCTCATCTGTCAAATGAAAGGATGAAGAGAGCCTCTGACAACCCTTCCCCTTCTAACAGCAGCTTGGCTTTTATTTGTGTTATAAATGAGGGCTTGTACAAGCTTTTTGATAAAGGGATTTGATCAGTTTTTTTAAAGTCTGAAAATCACTGAACTGAATGTTTCAAAGGGTACATCCAGAAACCATTTCCACACATGTGGAATGGGGATGGCAATAGTCCCATTTCATATGTACCTGCAGGTGGATCCGGATGTACATGTAGAACAGAGCATAGAACACAGAAGCATTCGACATGTTAGTATTCTCCCCAACCCCAGATTGGTCCCTTACCAGTAAGCTACATTTCATGACTCATAAACTTTGAGTACAAAGTGCCTAATCCATCTGTTTTATACCAAAAACACTATAAATCGTCTTGGACATTTACTCTGAATTTATAGCATAACCATTTTATTTCTGTTTTTCTTGCATTGCTTTTTCCTCCCACAACTGGGAATTTTCTTCTTCTACGTCAGATTTTGGAAATTATTGTGACCAGATGCAATTATGACAATGCACATACCGATGTGTTTCAGGCTGGCCAGCTCCTGGGAAAGTGACATCAGCGTCCACTCTCTAACCCTGCCCTCTGCGACCTGCTTGGAGCTACTGTTGATATTGTCAAGCAATAACGCCATGCTGCCTCCGTCGCTTCGCTGTATGAATTCCTTCCAGGTAAGAAATTGCTCCTTTACCAGGGTGTAATTTCTCAGTTTTACTGATAATTGTTTTCTAGGGAGCCAGTCTTTTCACAGGAGGTAGTCCATGGACACCCACATTTTCACATCATGACAATAATAAGCATAATGCATGTACTGCCTTATCTGTCTCTTTTTAAATAAATGAACAAATGGAGGCTCAAAATTGACTAGGTAATTGTCTAGCAGTGGCACAGTCCTATCTCTCTAACTCTAGGGTATTTTCTCTTAATCTTTTCTGCCTCTGAAAGAAAAGGCAAGAACATTTGGGGATGCCAACTTCCTTATTCCCAGATTTGCCCTAGAACAAGGATTTTCAGCTTACAGTCAAATTGCCAAGTGTATGCTTAACAGTGATAGTGTCCTACCCACTCTCAGCACCTGTTCGCTCTCTTCCTGGTCCCATCCTTGTCACTTTCCCACTCTCCTGGTAAAGGGCCAGATCAGAACAGCACAGACAGGACAGCAGATGTGGACTGACCAGCAGAAAGACACCCTGCCTGGTAGGCAGCTAATTGTCACTGGGGTGACAAATGAGAATTAAGATGTTAGTCACTTAAGTTATGACCCAATTGCTACTGAGTGTAATTGAACATACTTATGACTTTTGACAATGCAAAAATGTTCACCAGCCTTCTAAGGCTGGTGAGGCCACATGCCTTGGTGAGAAATGAGTCAACATGGGTTGGTTCTGCTTCTGAACGATTGTTGATATATCCTAAGATAACATCAGAATCAGTGTATATTGCTTGGTGCATCTCTGTGTTAACAAAACACATGTATTTTCCTATGAATTATAGCTCAGGAAATTGATTAAAAACAAACAAACAAAAAAACAGTTGCAGTCTAATTTGCACACATATTCTCATGGTAATTTGTTATATTAATTATCTCTGTGATTTTCTTCCCCCTACAAATTTCAGACTTGGGTCATGGTATACCTGTTTGTATTTGTCATTCATTACTCAGTTATCACCTTTAACCCTGGACTCAAGAGACCCTAGAGAATACCTTATCATTTTGTAAGAGAGGAAACTGAGACCCAGAGAGATGGAGTGGGCTGCCCAGGGACCACTCAGCGTGTTAGAGGCAGAGCTGGACCCACCAGGCTTATGCCTGTGAAACCACATTCCAAAGGCTTGGGAGCTGCAGGGGGTGTCAGTGGTTGGTGGAGGCCAGTGTATCTATCCTGGAATGTCCACAACACCTCTTATTCTGCAGGAATCTATAATTATTTACTTATATACTGCCCTGAATGAGAAATGATTTAAAATTCTATCAATCCTTCTTTCTTCTAAGTTTTGCTCTTTGGATTGAACATTGAATAGCACAAAAGTTTGTATATGCCCACAAACTTTTATGGAGGGAAGTAAGAAACTTAACAACGGTTATCTTTGGGGAGTGAGGCTGGAAGACAATTATTTTTATTTTGCTCCCTCATGTACTGTGTGAAATTTTTATATGATGGGTGAGTGGGGAGCCAGAGCGATGACTCTCTGACTCCAGGGATTGTACACAGACTATTGGGGAAGGTGAAACTGTCATCCATGTGTGATATAAACTGAGAATAATTGTAATACCCGTAGCCTCAACACAAGTCTTCAAGGAGATGCAAGGTACAAGAGTCATCTAGACCAGGTGTGGAGATTTGAAAGGGACCCAGTGTGTATTTCTTCCCCATGAGACAGAGGCAGTGGTCTTGCTTCCAGGATCCACATCCTTCCAGGGTCTCAGCCCAGGCCCAGGGAAACCCACGGGCATGAAGGCCTGGCCTGCTCTCAGTGGCATTAGTGTTCTCTCCCAGACCTTTCATCACAGAAGCTCTTAGGCCATCAGCACATTCATTACTGAACGACCCTTCTGTTAGTGATTGTGCTTCCTCCGTTCTCAGTCGTTTGCTGAGTGTTATTGTCAGGAGTACATACACTTCCCCAATTTCCAAGGTACAGAGAAACTTGTCACACATTCATGAACAATGTCTGCTAAAGAGATTTGCTCCAGTTGCCAGCCCTGGAAAGATGCATTCTTATTACAGCTGTACCAGGCATCGACTTCCCTGGGCAGGTCTTCACTCCAAAGTTAATGATCAGTGTGAAGGGGGAAGATGTCTGTCAGGGTTAGAAGGAGGTGCCCTGCTTCTTCCTCTTTGTGACACCCCCTTAATCATCACAATAGCAAGGAATGGGGCTGCTGATTCTGCCTGCACTGGGGTTTTCCCTTTTCAGTTGGGAATTACTTTAATGCAGTTCTTTAAAGTGCTGCATTGGCAAGAGTTGTAAAATAATAGAATGACATTTGTGCAAGATACCATCTTTACATTTCCAGTTCTCTTGTATTTCAGGTTGAGTCAGTCACTGTGAGCTATGCTGCTTTTTTGGTAATACCAGTAGCCTTTCAGTTTCTGAGGATTCAAATGGTACCCCTACTTGGGCTGTTATCATTGCCAGATTCCAAAAGGAGAGGTTTATCTGATTAATTAGAGCTATTAACATATTGAAATTGTAACTCTTTAAATTACAGTATAACATTTCTCTCAGGCCAATAGGGACATCTTTCGGTGGATTTGTTATAATTTTAACTTGCACTCTGTTACATAATTTAACATCCCTACTGTGATTATGAGTAAACCGAATATAGGATTTGGTTGAGAATCACTGACATACTTGCTAGACACATACTATAGTTGTTTCAGCCCTAGAAAGAAGATGGACTTACCATGTCACTCTCTGCTTAGAATTCTTCATGACTTTTTATTGCAATGAGAATAAAATTCGAACATCTTAATCTGGCCAACCAAAGCCCCCAACCTCTGCCCCTGCCTCGTTTTTTGGCCTCACGTCCTGTTTCCCTTCACAACAAGCTGGTTCTTGCCGTCAAATCTGAGCACTGGCTGTTTCTTTACTGCCAGGAGGTATTCTGGGCCGGATCTCTGCATGTCTGAGTCCTTCTCTTCTTTCAGGTCTCAGCTCAGGTGCCCCCTCCCATAAACGGCCTAATCTGATGCTCCTCATCCAATTCCTCTCCCCATCAGCATAAACTACCTATAGCCTCGTCTTGTTTTATTTTCTTCATAGAACTTTTCACTATTGAAAAGGATCTTGTTCATTTATTTGTCCTTTTTTCTCTACTGAAATGTGTGTTCATTGAGAAGAGGGAGACGGTCTGCTTTTGTTCAGTACTGTGTCAATAGAACTTAGGACAGTGCTTGGACAGAGGAAGCGTTAGCAAATATGGGATGAATGGCTATGCATGGGTGCACAAGTAGAACATAAACTGGCATGGCCGTTTGACACTCTAGAGAAGCCCAAAATACTGAGCTGGGGGAAACTGAGGCATGAGTAGCACACACTCTGGGGCAGAAGCAGAGTCCTTTCCTGCTGAGATAGGGTGGACTCCACAGGTAAGGTTCGGATTTGGGGATGTGGGCAAGACTGAGCACAGGTGGGTATCTGCATTGTAATTGCAGCCTGGGGCTTTGTACAAATGAGAAAGACTGGAAGAAGAGTTTGGCCTTTTAAAGAGCTGGGAAGAATCAAAATAAGCAGAATGACTAGTATATAGGACTAGGCTTTCTCTGAGCACGGGAGACCACAGCAGGGAAAATAGGAATGATGCCCAAGCTTTGTGCCAGAAACCCAAGAGGGGGATTGAAGGTCCTCTGGAACGGGGCAGGTTGCAGCCTGCTGCCGTCATGACTGCTGCCAGAACTCTGGGGTGAGGCAGCAGAAGGCCATGTCCATAGCCACTTTGCTGCGTGGCAACCAGCTTCTAAACCGGAAGTTGGGCAATAACAACTTTAAATCTGAATGTGTCTAGAAGGTAGAGCTCTAAGAGCAATGGGTTAGATCCAGGATTGGGCAGGGCTGCTGGCTTTAATGACTAGGCCTTTTCATTCAAACCTAGACTGCTACTGTAGCTGGAAAGACCAACTAGTCCAATGACCTCATTTTTATAGCTAAGGAAGCAGACCCCAGAAGGGTAAGTTGATGTTGCAGACTGTAACTCTGATTCCTGTGCTGTGCTTTTTGTGCTACATAGGATGCTGACTTCTCTTCAGGTATAAAGGAGATTTTTTTTTTCTCTTACTGGCATTTCTCTATTCCATGGGACACAGGTTCCTTAGGATATAAATAGGTGTTATAGAAAACAGTATTTTATCACTATGTACAATCATGCAAGTTATAAAGGCTAACATTTATTTGGTGCTTTCTGTTATCCAGTCACAGTTCTCGGTGATTTGCACTTATTAGCTCATTTCATTTTCGTGAAAAAGTACCATGAGGAAGGTATATTATTATTCCAATTTCACTGGTGCAGAAACTTGCCCATGCTTACATAGCTTGTAAATGGAGGAGTGTAAGGTACAAAGCCTGACTCTGGAATCCCCCATTCTTTACCACCAAGTAATGTTGCCTTTAAAAATAAGTTTAGTTAAACTAAGTTAGATTTTTTTTTCTTTTTACCTGCAGGACTTTTCAGTGCCTTTCCTATGTGTATAAGGAGCGTTGTGACCTTCCTAGTTGAAGAATGTAGTAAATATTATTTTCCAATTGTACTTGATACTAGGAAGACTATTTCTAGAGACATTTAATGGAATTAATCTCTGAGAACACAGGTGGGGAAGTACTGTTCTGTCTGGTCGTGAAAGATTTGGGTGATAACGCATTCTTCCAGGCTCTCCTTGTCTCCAACAGAAGTGGTGCTGCAGGTGTAACTGGTGATTGCCAAGAGGATATCATTTTTTTAGTGACTAGACAGTTCTTCTGGTCAGGGCCACCTTGGTCAGATGGTACAACAGGAACAAGATCTGACTTTGCCATTTCTTAGTACACAATGAGTAACACGAGAGACCCGGCAGGCCCCCGGCTGAGCATTGCTTTCCTAGTCTCACCTGCTTCCAGGAAGATTTCACTTGGGTCTTATCTGCTCCAAACACAGTGTGGCAAAGGGTTCCTTCAGGAGATTAAGTCATCTAGCTACACTCTGTCTGTCTCCTAACTTACAGCTTAATTACCTGAGAATTCCCAAGAAGGGTCTTCCTTGGAAACTTAGATCTGACCGAGCAATGAGTGTCCCACAGCCTTAAGCTCAGAGCGGAGGAAACTGTTTTTGTCTATTCCCACACCTTACCTTGTTAACTTGCTCTCTGCAGTTGCTCCAGATTGTGTGGATGGACTTTCCAGGGCTCAGAGCCCCAGAAATGAAGCTGCTGCTTTCCCACAGGTAGATTGCTGCATTCTATAATAATGTAAAATGTTTTCACGAACTGTATTTTTTTAAATCCTCACAACAACCCCCATTTTAAAGGGGCACAAAGTAAGAAATGTGGACAAGTTCATGTAACTGCCAAAATGCAGGGCTGTGTTTCACTCCTAGGTCTTCTGGTTCTGAGTCTATTATTTATTCCATCTCATGACAGTTACATAAAAAAAATACCAAATGGCCCTATTTAACAGTCCTGGGTCTTGTACATATTATCTTTACCGTAGAAAGCAACAGTATCTCTTTTATTAATGACATCCTTTAGAGAACCACAACCTTCAGCCATGGGAGCAGTGTGAGACAGACAGCATTATAGATTCTGGCAAATGAGCTGCGCTTCCTCAGATCTTAGGTGCATGTATATGCTGTGTGGCTGAATAATATGGTGAAAACACGTAGAAAAGAAGCAGCACAGATTTATAGCGCTTATCGTTTACCATAACGGTTGGTCAGGGGTATTTCCTCGGCTCTAGGTGGATTTGAAACCATACAGTGTTCAGTGGGGAGTGTGAAGCAGATGAACCTTCTCAAATAAGGGACTCAATCTAGAGAAGAAAGTCTCAATTAATTACTTGTATATAGTTTGATTTTAACTGTAAAAACTGTGTATTCAACTTCTCAGTTGTTCAGAAATGAATAATTTTACCAACAATTCCCCCATTCAGCCACTTTATCACTACCTTTTAATACCTATATCACAAGTGAGAAAGAAAATAATACGGAAATTTGGTTCAGTCATTTGGCCATTTGTGGGCATCTCAGGGGAAAAGCTTTGATTGTATAGAAGTTCCACGTTGTAGTTTAAACTTAAGAACTTCCAAAACAATATAATCTGCTGGGGGCGCTAAGAAATTGGTAGGCAGAGGCCTGGGACCTCTACAGATCAGCAGCAGCAAAGGGGCTACAGAGAAGAGAAAGTGAAGTTTTTTATCTCTACACCATTTCTTTTTCATTCTGTTTTTAGACATTGCACTGCATAAATGGCCTTATCTATTATATGCCATGTTCATCTCTAGGCAAATTATAGCCATGATTATCTTTTTTTTAGTCCTCACCCAAGGATATGTTTTTCATTGATTCTAGAGAGAGAGAAACATCGATCGGTTGCCTCACGCACACTGGAGAGTGAACCCAAAACCTGGGTATGTGCTCTGACCGGGAGCCCTTCTCTGCACAGGATGGCACTCTAACCAATGAACCATACTGGCCAGAGTGCTGTAATTATCTTCTAAAGTAACATTTTATACAATTATTATAAGAAGATAGTAACATGATAAAAAATGGGAAAATACAGAAAGGTGTTAAAACAACTAAATCACTGGGAATAAAATAAACATTGACATTTCAGAGTAATTCTTGTCAGTGTTTTTTATGTACGCTCAGGTACACACACACACACACACACACACACACACACAAATATATTTTAGCATCCAGTTGGTCTTGTTGGCGATGCTGGGACTCAGTTGCTGGCAGTATTCTGTTCTTTCCTCTGTCACCTTGCCTGAAGGTAGTCTTCCCTGAGACTGTCAAAGGCACTTTGAGGCTTTGTATGTAAAAGTCTTGTTGTTAGGTGAGAGTGGCTAGTGGGGGAGGCTGTGAGCCATTCCAGATGTCCAGGGATTGCTGCAGGTGTAATCAGGAGGCAAACACACCTGCTAGATCGTCCACTTAGCTTCCATGGTGACCTCTGCGCCCTGCTAGAGAACCGAGAAGGGAGTGGTGCCACTCTCAGTCCCCGAGGTGTGGTGGTCTTCTTTCCTGCTAATGCCTTTGTCCTCAGCGGGCAGAGATAATCATCATCGTATTCAGGGAATGCATTCTCAAAGGTAGTGATTACTGCTCTGACTATTTTCAGTCTCTCTCCTCAAAACAGATTTCTGAGAATTGCCTCAGCAATTTGGGTGCAAAAGGATGTTGTCTTCTTCCTTCCTTTGTTCTGTGGTTTGGGGAAATAAGTAGGTATCCTTAGTTTAACACAGCTCCAGTCTGGATTCTCCCTTCCTCTGCCTCCATTCATATTGGACTCTGCTCGAGAAAATGTGGAGGCCGGGGCCAGGCGGAGAGCCCTCCTACATCGCTCCTGCCACCAGGGGGCTGGGCCGGTAGGCCACGCGGGAGGTCCCAGGCCTTCCCTGGCACTGGCCTTTACTCTGAGGAGCTGCATTTGTTAGGGGACCTGGCTGTGCCCAGGCGCTCTGGCCTTGTTGAGACGAGCAGGAATGAGGTAGAGCCCAGGCAGTCTCAAGGATTCTGTCTTTTGTTTTGTCGGCTTGTTTTTAATAAGTTAACTGCCCCCCCACCCCCCCCCCACCCCGACTTTAAAGGAAATACATACTCATGACAGAAAATGTATGTTTCTCATTAGCAAAACAATACTGATTTGCCCTTTTAACCTAAAAATGTAGTCTTAAAATTAAACCAACTATTACCTAGCCAGTCCCAGTCCTTCGTGCATGGTGGGGAGAGGCCTGGAGGCGCAGCCTGGCGGGGTCTGAGCAGCCTTTGCGGTGTGAGGGCACCCGCTGTCCCTGTATCTGTGGATCTGTAACTGCAGTGGGCGTGGGCGGGCAGTGAGGCAGGTCTGTGTCATTCTGCAGTGATGGGAAGGGCGGGCACAGGTTGTTAATGGCAGCGCCCATGGGAAGTTTGTTGAGGCAGGTTTCGGAGAGATTCTGTTCAGTAGCTGTGGGAGAGCCAGGAGACTGCGCTATAGCAAACATCCAGCCTGTTCCCGATGCAGTTCTCAACCACCAAGTTCAGAAACCCTTCTGTGAGAATAGAATATATTCCCACTAAAGTGAAAAATGTAAAGAAAAAAATTTTTAATTATGACAAACACCTAGTCACTAACTAGTTCAAATAGCTTAATTATTTTTCTCTTTTCTTCACTTTTCCTTATTAACCTGCACTTAACAGTCTCTAACTGAAGTAAACTGACTCATCACAAAGTTTGTACTTTTTCTTGTACTTTTCTCTCCTGTGACCTTTCCCTTTTACATGCAGATGCGTGGTAGAACCCAGGGGTCAGTTCCCTCTGTAAGTCATCTTTCTGCCATTCGCTGTGAACCCCTGGCATCCCAGTGTCCCAGCCTCTGGGTGTCCTCCCTCCCTCGGGGATATGCAGCCTCCAAAGCCTCTCTCCTCCTCACAGCGAGTCGCTCACCTTGACAGAGGACACTCTAGGTCTAGTCTTAAATCTGCCCCCAGCTGGACCTGTGACCCTAGTATAGTTAGGTAACCTCCACTTACTTCATCTGTACAACGAGGGGGCTGGGTTAAATTATAAAGTTCCTTTTACAGTAGGAGCACACAGAGGCACTTTGTTCCCAGCTGTTCCTCATTTATTCACCCAGGCTGAATAATATGGCTTTATTTCTTAAAGGGACTAGGTCCTTATTTCTTATGAACATTTTGAAAGCGTTTAAGTGACGAAAAGCATACATAAAACCACATTACCTAGGTTTTTTCCCTCTCCAAGAGAAGGAATCTATGTTGTTGACCCTCCCAACAGTCACAAAGAAGAGTCCAGAACCATGGGACTGGAGTGCTGTCTGGCCCTTGGCTCTTCCTGCCTGAGAAACCCAGGCTGCTCCTCTTTGTGGAGGCAGACAAAGAAAAGTCAGTGTCAAGGCCGCTGTGCGTCAGAGAAAAGGAAGAGGCAAGAACTTGAATGTTCTCTAGACAGCTCTTAAGCTCTCTGCTTCCCAAG